AAAAAATTAAAAACACAACACTGTAATGAACATCATAGAAAAACAAGTGGGAAGTGACAGAGAAATTCACCCCTGGGATGCCAGATTCTAGAGTTCATGTTCTTGGCCTCTTTTGGTGTATATTGCTGAGGTAGGACGTGGCTGGGAGCGGGCTTGGGAGAAGGTTGAAAGAACAACTTGGGGTGGGTTCCTGGTTTTCTGGAAGGTGTGTGAGCACGTTGGTGTGTATTTAGTAGGTTGGGTGTTTTTGTTCATTTTTGAAGTGTGTAACGTGAGGTTTTGGTGTACATAGTGAAGTGGCTGCTGTATAGTCAAGTAGAGGAACATGTCCATCAACCCACATAGTGCCCTGTGTGTGTGATAAGAGACACAGCATCTACTGTCAGCAGATCTGTGGTCCTCATGCTGCAGTTAGGGCTCTAGGTTCAGCTTACAAGTCTGCAGCTCTGAACCTACCTGTGACCTGTATCATCCGCTTCTTCTCTCCTGCCCTGCGATCATTTTATTATGTTTCTGTGTATTTGGCGCTTTTTTTTTTTAACATTCTATGTATAGGTAAGATTATGCCATATGTTTCTTTCTGTGTCTGTCTCACTTCACTTTAGCATAATGTCTTCCAGGTTCATCTATGTCCAAATGGCAAGATCTCCCTTTTTAAGGCTGAATACCATTTCATTGTGTGTATATACCAGCTTCTTTATTCATTCATCTGTTGACAGGACATTGAACTTTTTTAATATCTTGTCTATTGTGAATAAAAACAGCAAGGGAAGCAACATGTCCCATACAAGAGAATTGTCATTAGACTATCAGAAGACTTCTCAGCAGAAAGTTTGCAGACCAGGAGAGACTGGGATGATATAGTTAAAGTGCTGAAGCAGGGTGGGGCTGGGGTGGGGGAACTTCCACTCAAGAATACTGTATCCAGCAAAGCTCTCCTTCTGAATGAAGAAGAAATGAAACCTTCCCAGGCAGATGGAAGTGGAAAGGGTTCATCAGGGCCGCGAGGATGGAGCGTAGGAAGAGCACTCATTCATTGCTGGTGAGAGTATGAAATGGAACAGCCACTTTGTTGTTGCCTTTTATTTGTTAAATTTTTTTAAGTTTTACTTTAATATAGAGATGTGGGGTACAGGTGAGGACTAACTACATAAGGGGGCTGCATGCAAGCGACATTTGGGCTTCCAGGCGGCCCTCACTCCCTCCAGTAGTGGATCAGGTACCCTTTGGGTACAGCTACTTTGGAAGACAGTTTGGTGTGTCTTACAAAATTAGCCACACTTTAACCCTGTGATCTAGCAGTCTCACTTCTTGGTATGTACCCAAATGAATGGAAGGCTTATGTCCACACAAAAACCTGCACATGGGAGTTCATGGCAGCTTGACTCATAGTTGTCAGCGCGTGAAAGCAACCAAGACGTCTTGATTAGATGAGTGGATATGTAAATTGCCGCGTCCAAACAGCATGCAGCAGATCTCCAAGTAGCATCACTCCATGATAATGTTGATGGTGGAGGAAGGTTGGTTTGGCTGTGTGTTGTTGCTCTTTAAATAGTCGCAGTTCCCAAGAACCTGTGGAATTCGTAAGTGAGGACCTGCTGTATATTACATTCTGGAAAAGACAAAATTATGGAGACAGTAGAGAGAAGAGTAGTTGCTGGAGTTATGGAGAAGGGAGAGATGACGAGGTGGAGCACAGGGTATCTTAAGGCAATGGAACTGTTCTGTTTGATACCACAAATGTATACATACCCTTATACATCTGTCAGTACCCATGGGCTGTATAACACTAAGAGTTAGCCCTAATGTAAATTACAAACTTGGAATAATAATGATGTGTCAGTGTAGATCCATTGCTGTAATTATAACAACGGTATGTGTTTGTGATGTGAGGAAACTGATGGTGGGGAGGTTGGGGGTCAGGTCAGGAGAGATGGGGGTGATATAATTAAAGTGCTGACGGGGTGGGGGTAGGGGGACTGCCACCCAAGTACTCTTTGTGCTTTTCACTTGATTTTGCTGTGAACCTAAAACTACTCTAAAAAAAAGCCTATTTTTAAATGTTGAAAAAAAAATTGGTATTATTTTGAAAAAGATACTAAAACATTAAAACAAAACACTGATGAAATATTTGCAAATAGATAGCAGGTCTAAGAACTGATTTATTTTCCTTTTTTTTTGAGTTGGAGTCTCACTCTGTCACCCAGACTAGAGTAGTGGCACGCTCCCAGCCACCGCAACCTCAACCTGCTGGGCTCCAACGATCCTTCTGCCTCAGGCTTCCAAGTAGCTGGAACTACAGGTGCACGCTACCATGCCCGGCTTATTTTTTTTGTTTATTGTAGAGATGAGGTCTCACCAAGTTGCCCAGACGGGACTTGAACCTGCGGACTCAGATAGTCCACTCACCTCAGCTTCCCAAAGCGCTGGCATTATAGGCTGAGCCACTGAGCCCGGCTAGAACTGATTTCTAAGTCAGTTTAGAATTAATGTTTTAAAACGTATTGATAGAGCGGGTGTAGTGGCTCACTCATCCCAGCACTTTGAGAGGCAGAGGTGAGAGGATTGCCTGAGTCCAGATTTGAGACCTAGTCTGGACAACTTGGTGAGACCTCGTCTCTCCAATAAATCAAAAAACTAGCCGGCCGTGGTGGTGCACCCCTATGGTTCCAGCTACTTGGAAGGCTGAGGCAGAAGGATCACCTGAGCCCAGTAGGTTGAGGCGGCAGTGGCCATGAGCGTGCCACTGTACTCCAACCTGGGCGAGAGGAGACTCCTACTCAAAAAACAAAGCAAAACATATTAATAGAAAAATGGACTAAAAGAACGTGAATACATTCTTTACATCAAAAACAAAGTAGATATAAAAACAGGTTGCCCCTTAGGCCCATCAGATTGGCAGATGTCATCGTGTTGTGATGCGGTACAAAGAAACACTGGCTCTTGGTGAGACGAAGTATCCTGAGGGATCGACAATCAGGAGAATCAAGTGATGGGGCCGTTTCCTCCATTCCTGATAGTGGCTTTGTGTATCTTGTATTTGCTTCAGGAAATAGCAGTGAGTTTTAGCTCATTGTTCTAAATATGGTTTGGCGTTTCTTAGTTGTATCTACTGTGACTTGACAACCAGTTTTTTCAACTGAGGAACACAAAGAACCTAACCTAATTTGTGTTGGGTGGAAGACGTCTTCTTCTTGAAGTCATCTACTTACCTCGGGGCTGCCATCTCCCTGTGTTGCCTGGTATTTTATGTCATGGTCACAGTGATGTGGTGGAGATGGCTGCATGGCAGCCAGGCTGTTGTGTCCCACAGGTGTGTCCTGGTGCAGGGAAGCTTGGGAACGTTGTGCCTTGTGTTCTTTTAGATAGCTTTTCCTAAATGTGTCAAGATGATCAGAAAACAAAGTCTACTCTATTTATAATAAGATTTTAAACAACATTTATAGCAAATGTGTTTTAAAATTGAGTTCCATGGAATTGTGGTCTCAGTGATGTTTCATCTGTTATCTAGTGGTTGTTCTTTGAGTATTTGTGTCCTCCATATTTTCCTGATTAGATTTGCCTGTTGACCTAAAGCAGGAGGAATCAGATCATTTTCTAAGAAAATCCAATTTACCAAAACTGACTCCAGAAATGGAGCTATCTTAGCAAGTCAACTTTCATAGAAGAAATAGAGAAATGTCTCAGAGTAAATGCTAGAATTGTGTTAACTATAACCAATTTCACAGGAGAATTCTTCCAGACTCTTAAAGAGTGTGCTGTTACAGTACTAGGTAAACGGTTACAGACGATAAGTCTTCTAGATTGTCATAACATTGATCACAGAACCTTATAAACATAGCACTCATATAAATCTGAGACTATTGGTATGAGAATCCTAAATAAGTCATTTGTCTCTCAGCTTCAAAGCCAATGCCGTGCTTACTGGGAAAGTACTAGAAACACTACCTTGAAGTGAAAAGTAAGACAAGAATATCCATCACCATTGTTTTTTATCAAAGTGTGACACATACCCCAACATGATTGGTAAACTAAACTGTGTAAAAGTTTTTTAAAAAAAATTCCACGCGATCAGAATTAGGATTGAGTCATAAAAAGTTGACCGTATATGTGAAATACACCATGAGGGGACTGAGACCCTAAGGCAAAAAGCACATTCTGAAAATGAGTAAGAAAAGGGATCAACACCACAGTAGAAAAATTAGCAAAGGAAAAGAAGACTTTTACAGAAAGGAGCCACAATGTGAACATGTGTTCAGAAAACTGCTTAGATATACAACTCTGCTTATTGAGACTGTGTGTCACTCATGAACATCACCATGGGCACCTCACTATTGTGTAGTTACTAGAAGTGTAAACTTGTATAGCCTTGATGTGTGATCGTTTTAGCCAAATCTATCAAAATTACAAATGCACGAACCCCTGGGCCTGGTAGTTTCTCTCTTAAGAATCTGTCCTCAGATACAATTGGAAGGATGCAAAATGTGCACAGTTAGTTATTGCAGTCTCGACTTTTATAGCAGATGATTGAAAAGAGCCCAGAGGTCCCTTAGTATGGGATCACAGTGTACCGTATCGTCATGTGGTGGCTTGATAGGCAGGCAGGAAACATGTGAATGTGAACAATCTCCGAAGAATCAGTGAGATAGAAGTTCAGAACTCATACCATTTGTGTATCGAAAGGAGGGACATCACACAATATGTTTGCTTGTATGGTCCACAGAGTATTTCTGGAAAGACACACAAGGAACTGCCATCATCAGATGCCTTTGGGAGGGTAAACTGAGAGTCTGGAAGCCAGGACGGTCCATACCCTTTTATATATTGAAACCCCCAGATTCAACTAAAGCGAAGCACTTCATCATCTTGAGTTCTTGTGATTTAAAGTGTCTATGTTATTGGCAATGATGGCAGCCAGACACAGCCAGTTGTGTTGTCATTCGATGAGCGTTCTGGAAGCACCCCAGCCTCTGTGTGAACGTCGGCTCTGTGTGTTTCAGGCTCTCCAGCGGAGCTGTCTCCCACGACTCTGTCCCCCGTGAATCACAGCTTGGGTGAGTTGCAGATGCTCTTCGTCACTCTTGTACCTCTTCACCTCCCGAAGATGAACATTCTCTCTGGGAGGTGTTTGCACACGTAGGAGAGCGGTATCCTAATGAGCAATGGAGTGATTCCACAGGCGTATACAGGAGCACTTTTTAGAAAGGCTCTTGGTATCGTGCCTCAGCAGTATTGTCTTTTCTGCTAGCACACCTGCGAAACAGGTATAGTCGCCGTAGTAGCTGTTGAAGTCATGTTCTTTATGGGCACTGTTACAACATACGGTGGCTAGATTTTCCTAGGCTTACGATGTCTTGCAGTTGCAGTTATAAGAGGTTTGTGTAAACAAACCTAGATGTATCGCGTAAGTATGTGCATATGGTGTGGAGGATATGAGAGCAAATGTGCGTGTATATGGGTGTGTGTGTGCAGTTAACCCCTTCATAGCCATGGGTTCAGAATTTCCAGGTTCAATCAACCAGATCGAAAATATTCAGAAAAAAGACAAAAAGTATCAATAAAACAAAGCATTGTAAGTAATCTAGAGATGATTTAACATATACAAGAAGCTGTGTGTAAGTTGCGTGCAAGTACTGCACCTTCTTCCATCAGAGACTTAAGCATTTCTGGGTGTTTGGCACAGGGGTCCTGGAACCAGTCCTCTGTGGCTGCCAAGGGATGGTTGTACATACGTATTTGTATTTCTGTTTGGCCCTCATTTTACCTTGCTATTTCATAGTTTCTCTTCAGTTTTTACACGTTTGGAATTTATTCTACAGATATGCCAGGAACTTTTCTTTCATAATGTTTCTGGTGATAAGTTTTAGGAGTTTGAGACCAGCCTGGGCAACATAGTGAGACCTCGTCTCAACAAAAAAATCAAAAAATTATCTAGGTGTGGTGGCATGGACCTATGGTCCCAGCTACTCAGGAAACTAAGGCAGGAGGATCGCCTGAGCCCAGGAAATTGAGGCTGCAATGAGCCATGATTGTGCTACTGCACACTAAGCGTGGGTGACAGAGTGAGACCCCTGACTCAGTAGATATGTGTCATATTTTATATCTTTTTATTGTGACAGTTTTTCTTCTGGTGACTTTCGACTCATTTTTATTCTAGCTTTACTCTATCTTGACCCAGAAATGTTTTTCTGTGTGTGTATTTCAGAAATGCACCAGGAATGGCAAGTCACTTTGCCCATGATGGTTTTGTATTTGAACAGAAACTAAACCAAAACTACTTGTGAAACAAATAATTCAACATGATGACAGGCAGGAAACTTGAAAAGACCTAGTGTGATCTATGAAAACTCGAGCTCTGTGTGAGTGCTCCTGAAGGTCTGGTGTGATCCTTGGAAACGGATGCAGATGCATGTCTCCTTCCAGAGCTTTTGCCAGTGTGGGCTGGCATGGAGCACACAGAAATGATGACACTCAAGTCTGTTTGGGGCTTGAGTGGTTCACACGTTTCTTCCTTTTGCTTATTTTCAGATTTGCAGCCAGTTACTTACTCAGAGCCTGCATTTTGGTGTTCGATAGCATATTACGAGTTAAACCAGAGGGTTGGAGAGACCTTCCATGCATCCCAGCCCTCACTCACTGTAGATGGCTTCACAGACCCATCGAATTCTGAGAGGTTCTGCTTGGGCTTACTCTCCAACGTTAACCGAAATGCCACGGTAGAGATGACAAGAAGGCATATAGGTATGTCTTCTCTATGTGTGAAACTAGCACTCTGGCGGGTCAGGGGCCATCACGGTCAGGTGCACAGGTCTGCTGCTTCCAGGAGGTCCTAGTGACTTGTTAGTCTGCATACTCTTCCCTGTGACTTTTCTGTTCGGTACCCTGCTGCCAGGAGGTCCTTCAGCAAATACGTGTGGACATAACTTTAAGCTGCTGAGTCCTGTGTGACATAAAATTGCTGTTCAATTTTGGGAGTCATGGGTGTTAGGAATCGTGAGGTTTTCAGTTTGTTGTCTCCTGAGGAGTTTCTCCTCAGGGAGTTCATGTATTCAATCAGATCTGCCCACTGTCCATCTCACTTGCAGTGTCCACGACAAGAACAACCATGTAATACAGTTGAAAGCGTAATGCAGGAGGGTCCAGGGTGTGGTCTGGGGATCTCAGGTAGTCCTGTGCCCCTTCCAGCAAATTAGTGAGGCCAGAGCTGTCTCCTTCATGGCCTAAGGTGAACATCATTCTCATCACCTTAAAGTAGCTTCTTTTAACAACAGTCTGCTTCTGGCTTTGTTTTCAATGGACTAAAACATATCAATGAGAAACAATGCTGTTTACCAAGGAGTGACTTTGATACTACAAAATCATAGTGACTAAGAGACCTGTTACTTGTTTCCATGTGGAAGTTCTCAAATCATGCTTGATGTATAAACTTGGATAATCTTGTTATCTTGTAATTCATCCAGGTGTCATTGTAGGTGAGGAAGGCCTCTATATATCCACTCCCACTTTAACTAAAATAGTTTTTGTTGGGGTGCTTTAATTGGGGTTCTACAGAATTTTATAGGTTTTTCTCTGCCCTATTATTTCTCTCCACACAATTTTAAATTGCAATAATTATTAGATCATGTTTTATTTATTATTTTATTTTATTTTATTTATTTTTTGAGTTGGAGTCTCACTCCATCGCCCAGACTGGAGTGCAGTGGTCACTCCTGGCCACCGCAGCCTCAACCCGCTGGGCTCCGGCAATCCTTCCGCCTCAGCCTTCCTAGTAGCTGGAATTACAGGCGTGTGCTACCACGTCTGGCTGATTTGTGATTTATTGTAGAGATGAGGTCTTGCCAAGTTGCCCAGGTGGGACTCGAACCCGCGGCCTCAGGCAGTCCACTCACCTCGGCCTCCCAAAGCGTGGGATTGCAGGCTGAGCCACTGAGCCCAGCCAGATCATGTTTTAACTTTTGGGTTGTAGTGTAGTAGGTGGTTTTGATTAGAGAATACAGCCTGAAAAATCTCTACTTTTTGGACTTACTGTTTACCTGATGCCAAGCGTATGACTGACTGTTTTATAAATATTCCCTAGTCTTAGGAGAACAGGGTCCCAGGTTCTCTGTTTATCTATTAAATCTGGCTTCTTGGATGTTGTATTAGTTTTTTTCTCTCTCAAGTTTACAACTCTCAAGTTCTGAAAGAGATGTGTTAAAATGTCCCAGTATAATTTTTTCTTGCCTAATTCGGTTTACACAGCTAGAGACTTGGTTGCCACCATAATAATATAGTTTTTAAAAGGGAAAATGACTCTTAACCTCTTGATGCGTTTTAGTTATCTTTTTTTTCCACACCTTAGTGGGATCTTGAAGGAAAGACTATTGTAATGCAGATATATTTCTCCAAACATTAATTAATTCCTTCTAAATTACCTCAAATTTTTTTACCTATTTTAAAATAATAATTTGTATAAAATAATAATTTGAATGAAATAATTTGCTTTCTACATTATTTGAATACTTTTGATAAGCATATATTACTTGTACTAACCAGTACAGATTGTTAGAAAATACTTGGAAAAATATATACTGTTATATTTCACAGTTAGACTTCGAAAGGTCATCATTATAGGTCATGAAACCACCTGTGTCAGTTTAGAATTCCTCCAGAAAGACTCTCCCTGAGTCACACTGGAGAGCCAGTCTCATGCAACTGACCCATGTGTGTTTTGTTTTAGGAAGAGGCGTGCGCTTGTATTACATAGGTGGGGAAGTCTTTGCCGAGTGCCTGAGTGACAGTGCAATCTTTGTGCAGAGCCCCAATTGCAATCAGAGATATGGCTGGCACCCTGCGACCGTGTGTAAAATCCCACCAGGTATGACTTGACGCGCGTAACCCCACCTTGCTAACTGTCTGTGGCTTCTGGTTGCTGACTCTAGGAATCAGATGATTTCCTGCTCGTATTGTAAAACCTGTAGCCCTTTCCAATTCTGTTCTAAGAATGAGACTCTTCCTACAGCTTCTGTACTGTTTTTCACCCGTAGGCTGTAATCTGAAGATCTTCAACAACCAGGAGTTTGCAGCTCTGCTTGCTCAATCTGTTAACCAGGGTTTCGAAGCCGTGTATCAGCTCACAAGGATGTGCACCATACGAATGAGCTTTGTGAAAGGATGGGGCGCAGAATACCGGTATGAAGCACCTCGGGCCTGGGAACCACAGCGTCCTCCTGTGTTATTCTGTTCTTTGCATGTCTTGGAGTTCACTTGAGTCTGCCTTCATGGAGGCTGTAGAGTCCGCAGACCTTCATGCAAAATAGAGCAGGTTGGAGACCTCTGATCTCAGAACTGTGACACATTCCTGGGCTGCCATCATAGAAGCCAGGACTGCAGCATGCACAGGCATGTGCTCGTGTTCGGTGCCACACAAGGGGGCCATCGGAGGGCAGTGTCAGTTCCTGAAAGGAGAGGTGCTTTTCCGTAGGGCTCAGGGGAGGCTTGCCGGCACCTGATCTGGTGCTAAAAGATGCCTGAGGTTTCAGTGGTCCTGGTGGGGCAGCTGGCGTGGGCAGTGACCGTCCTGACAGCGAAACAGCAGGTCAGCGTGGAGTGTGGAGAGAAGAGAAGGCTGGACGGTGAGGCAAGGCGAGTTGCACGAAGGTAACAGGTGGACCTTCATTTGGGAGCAGGAGGGTCCTTGCTGACGTGCCAGTTATTGGGCTGCGTTGTAAGTGTCGTTATCTAAGAGTTCCACTTCTGCTGATAATACACTATCTTTTATGATGCTGAGATACATGAAACGGCAATCTTTGTAGGTAGCAAATGGTTCAAACTAATACGTGTAGGGAAGTAGGCTCAGAACAGTGGGATAATGTGCCCAAGGACATACTGTGCATGGTCAAGATGGGACGGGGAGGTACCCTCCCTCTTTCCCACCTCTCTGAGGAGCATAATCACAGCTGCGTAATGGAGTTTCACACAAGCGAATCTGTCAACACGGCACCAGATAGACTAGATTATTGCTAAATTATACACTAGATTGGGTTCCACATCACAGAGAGGAAAGACTTCTTCGCCACGTTAAAGGCTAGGACTTGCGTGAATACTCAGTCTTCCTTCAGTGTGCACCGTATGCCCTGCAAGCCCCTGAGGGAATGCCACGCTGTCATGCTGTACTTCGCTCCTCCAGCACTGTGGGTCCATCAGAATGTGTTGCATTGGATTTGGACTTGATGCCCTATCTGAAACAGCTTGCGTGAGACATTCGGCTTTTGAGATGTGAGAGATTTGAAGCCTGCTTGCTGAATATTGTGTGTTATATATTTATATTCTAAAATAAAGACTCGTCACTGTTTTGTCTGAGTTATGTTGGTAGGGTAATTTATTTTGTGGTTTGGCTATAGTTGTCTTTTGTTTTGAACACTGCCCTTTTGAGATGAGTTTCATTTAAAGAATGCTGAATGCCTTTTTTCAAAACTTTAGATTTGACCTGAGTTGATAGTAAAATTAGATTCAAAGGATAAGATCTGATAATAAGTTTTCAAAATCTTCTTCAAAGATTACAGTGATGCAGAATGAAGTAGGAATGTAGTGGGAGTGTGCTCTGTAGGACAGATGGGGTTTTGCCTCTGCAGGTCTCCTTCTAAGAGCAGCTGTCATTCAGGCATTTCCCGTAACACTCACAGATCAGAACGCCAGATGCTATAGACCTGTGAGCTGTGGATGGCCACAGGAGCTTTGTGTCTTTAGTGATGCTGGGACTGAGGAAATAGGCCTCATGGTTAGTTTCCTAAAACTGTTTCTCAGTTTCTTAACCCCACCTTGATTGTCGTCATAAAAGGTAGGAAGTGCAGTAAGCAGGGACATGTAGACGTGTGAAGAGTTTGTGCTTGATTGTGTCTTAGTTAAGGGAGTCAGGCATGAGCGACAGGGGAAAGAGAGGAACCAGGTTTCAGTGCAGTTCTGTGCCCAAGCAAGTGTGGTGGCACCTTCCTAAGCCTGTGCCCCTCGAGGAGGAGGAATGGTTCCTGCTGGGGAGGTTGGGGTGGGAGGAAGGCAGCCAGCCTGTTACCGAGCTGTCCGCTGCAGTGAGTATCACTAGATTGGTGCGCTCGGGGAGTCACCAGGAAACTAGAAAACCTACAGAATGGCTCCACATGGTGGGTGTGTCAATATCATGTCCTATGTCCTTGGTGGAGGGTTGCTCTCGGGATGTTGATTTCCTGGCACCTTAGCCTGCAGCACAGGTGGGCATATCACAGACACTCCCAGGCATGGAAATGCAGGTACCTGCGGCTGGACCTTGGCCAGAGCATACCAGAAACCTGGGGGACGGCGGCCACTGGCCCATATGCTACAGAGAACCCCACCCTGAAAGTACAGCTCTGAGTTGTAGTGAGCATGCATTTGAAGAGGGAGAGTTGGTGATAGTCTTTCTCTTGCTCAAGGGCTGCTGCTTTGAAGAAGCAAGCAGTTTTATGGACTTACTCTATATAGTGAATAAGACAGAAATCAGTGCATGGACATGACAGACATCACTGTTGACGCTTTGTGAGAAGCCTGATGGTGTTGCTGAAAGGGACTTTGTTGGCTTTTGTCAGGGAAAGTTGGACTTTCTGTGATAAGGATTTAGCTCAGGTCAGAATTTTGTTTTGTTTTGGTGCACTTTAAATTTGAGTCCTGTATGTTGAGACTGCGTTTGATCCTTGAGAGTCTACTGTTCTGTTTGATTTAACTGGTAGGGTGGCCATATGTCTCAGTTTGCTTGGGACAGTCCCGCTGTATATCTCTCCTTTTGAGAATCAGCCATGTTTCAAAACAATAATCAGATGTCCAAAATTAATAATCATTCAGAAGAAATTAGATTTCTAATATAAGCAGTCTTTTAATCTCTCTGGGTTCTTAATGCATGCACCCAAACACAGCCATGTTGTTTTGTTCCTGTGGACTTGTGTAGAGAAGCAGACACTGTTCTTCTAATTACGTCACCATCTCCTTGTATTCTTTGAAACAGAAGGCAGACGGTGACGAGTACTCCTTGCTGGATTGAACTCCATCTGAACGGACCTCTGCAGTGGCTGGACAAAGTATTGACTCAGATGGGATCTCCTTCAGTGCGCTGCTCAAGCATGTCCTAAAGCTACATCTCCAGCCCGGCGTGGCGAGAGACTTGCTATACCAACTCTTCTGTCATAGTATCTGTGTGTGGTCCCCAAGGACTGTGGACTGTCCAAGCATCCGAGAGAGAAAACAGCACTTGAGGTCTCATCAGTTAAAGCACCTTGTGGAATCTGTTTCCTCTATTTGAATTTTAGATGGGAAAATTAGTGTCTAGAAATGCTCTCCCATAAAGGAGGAGGAGAAGACCTGAAAGACTTGATGATGTCTTGCTGGGCATACACCCGAGTGTCCCAAAGGTTTATCAGTAACAGTAGTAGTTATGTGTACAGGTAATGTATCATGATCCAGTGTCACAGTATTGTGCTGTTTATATACATTTTAGTTTGCATAAATGAGGCGTGTGTGTGCTGCTCCTTGATCTAGGCAAGCCTTTATAAAGTTACAGTACCTACTCTGTTATTCCCACTTCGTTATTTTTGTCTGTCTTTTTTAATATATAATATATATCAAGATTTTCAAATTATCATTTAGAAGCAGATTTTCCTTGTAGAAAGACTAATTTTTCTGCCTTTTACCAAAAATAAACTCCTGGGGGAAGAAAAGTGGATTAACTTTTGAAATCCTTGACCTTACTGTGTTCAGTGGGGCTTGAGCAGTCGTTCTCTTTGTTTGCTTACTGCTAAATCTCATTATAGGAAAGCCATCCTGGAAATCTCTCCCAGCCTCTTGGCTCTGTGTCCACCTGTGTCCTGATGCCAAAACTGCATCGTGTGACATCATCGCCAGTAATTGTTGCCCTGACACGGTGGCTCCAGTCAGTTCTGGGCTACAGTGACCCTCATGGGAGTTCAGTTTCTACAGGTGTCGTTGATGTGTATCACCCAGCAGTCTATGGATGAGTCCTTCCACCTCTTAAAAGTGCCCAGGTGGTGGCAGGATTGTCTTCAGGGATGAGCTAGAATTACTTCCACATGTTTATTTTTTTAAGCCAATTTATAAATTTAAATCCTCCTTTAAAAAAGGTACTTGAAGTATCTCAGCAGCAGACTTTCTGCTCTCAGATTTGAGTAGTTTCATTTGATTTACTCACCAAATTGTATTATGAAATGGACTTTTTGTAAATTGCTTCTCCAAAACACCCAGAAATGGTGCTGAACTGTGCTGGCAGACAAGGCCTCTGTTTGAAGAGTGTGTTGTGTTCGGCCATAAGTTGACTGTATTCTACATGATTATGCCTTCAGAACGTTAAACGCTGGGGGAGAAGCCATTCATTTAGCAAGTGTTCAGCTTGCAAGTACCTGCGTTCCGAGCTGTTCTGGACTGACCCTGGACTGTGACTGCCATGTCAGGCTCTGCCGTGAGGAGCTCCCAGAGGCTCTCAGGGTTGTCCTGCAGCAGGTCTTCTTGTTTGTATCTGAGTAGAAATGGAAAGCAACCACTGACCCTCCTTTCCTACATCGTGTTCCCTGATCTGTCCTTGAGACGTCCAGCATCCGGTTGTTTTCTGTTGGGTTTTCTCGCATCTGTGTGCCTATGCGTATGCTCATGCACATTTGGTGTAGTGGTATTTTAATCCATTTCACAGATGCTTGTTGCTCACCTGTGACGTGCCAGGAGCTCTCTGCGCCCCCATGTAAGGTGAAGAGCCAGCTCCACTCCCTACCTTTTCTGGGACGGCAGCTACACCAGCCTGCCCTCGTCCTTGTTTCTGAGGACATGCTGGGTCCTGAGCTGGAGTAGCAGGTGGGGGCTTCGGGAGGGCCCTCAGAGGGAGAACGCATGGCCCACACCTGGCCGAGACAAGCTCACCATGGGAGAGCCCGGGGGACCCATGTTCCTGGCAGAGAGCAGCTCCACAGCCAAGCTGGTGCTGAGGACGTGGACGCCAAGTGGCCACACTGAGGAAACCTCCGCAGGTCCAGCTACCGCCAGCACGGTCTGCAGCGTGTGATGTTTCAAAGGTGGCCTTGCTCTGTGACGGTCCGTGTCGCATCACTCTCAGTCCTCCTCCTCCCTCTGCACCTTGCTGTACCGTTTCTCGCTTGCCCCAGGCCAGCACCCCTGGTTGCATGGCCCTTTATTGTGCGTGCTCTTTCCCCTTGGAGACCTGTTGCTCACTCCCCGCCCTCCTGCTGCCATCCTGTGGTGAGAGTGAGCATCCCAGGGTCACCACCACCAGTCCTGCTGCAGGTACCAGTGGAGGCCCTGGTCTCCCGCAGAAGCTTGTCCTTTCTTGAGAATGTGCAGTAGTGCTCGGGAGCAGTTCTGGGGGCAGAACAGCTGGGAGGGCGGAGCAGGATCCTGGCAGAGACTCTGCCGTGGGTCCTGGTAGCTTGGGGCCTGAATGGCATTTTGGGTGTGGGCTCCTCGCTGCAGCTCTGGGCGGCGTGTGTGTGCAGGGTGAAGTCGGACTTGGTCGCTGGAATGCACTGCTGTGTTGAGTGACTGACTTCCCCGCGCTGGTGACTGCGTCTCTGAATCTGCTTAGTGCTTTGTTGTGAAATGTTGTTTTTCGTGTCTTCCCTCCTGTGGTCTAATTTGTATTGATATCCCCCCCCATTAATAGTTATGGTTTTCACTTTTTTTTTTTTTGAGTTGGAGAATCACTGTCGCTCAGACTGGAGTGCAGTGGCCGCTCCCGGCCACCGCAGCCTCGACCTGCT